AAGTTTACTTGCCTCTACATAATCATATAAACAATCACCATCAGTTGTATTGCCTTCCAGTTGAAAATCTAAGAAATCAATCTCAATGTGAAACCCATCAGTCTTAAGTGTATAGTCCACAGTCTTATCACATTCAATGTCACGGGGATAATTCGCAGGATAGTTGGGTGATGAAAGAACACCAGTTTCTGTGGTATATGTATCCCCACAGTCTATATAAAAAAAAAATATGGTGGTGGTGAGAATAGAAATTTTTCTTAAACAAGGGGTGCACTGCCCTCATGCCATGGCCATGCACCCCTTACCCTAGGGAGCAGATGAGCAGATCCTCTGGCAACCATAAAATTCTGATTGACCAGGGATCACATTTTGGCCACAGTCTTCAACTGTGACCTGATAGGATAGTAATTTTAGCCCCAAGGAAGCCATAGAATGCTGCATTTTAACTTAGAATTATCAAAAACTCCTCACCCTGGTAGGAAAGACCCTAAATATGGGTAAAGTTAATGGTTAGGTTTGATTTTGAAACATAACCTGGTTTCAAAATCCATCCAAGATAAGACAGCCACTATCGGGTATATTGAAAAAGTATTCACTATATAAAGTATACATTACAGGTACTTTTTTTGTGGCAACAGTAACGAACAAAAAGGGGAAATGACATCAGTTTTTTGTTTTTTTTTAAATTATACACAGGCAGTATGTGGTAAAGATAGGGAAGGTCGGCACATCCAAAGAATTGAAAAAAAGAAATTAGAAAAATTGCAGTTGCAAGCTTACCAAAGGTCAATGGACATGGTCCTGTATTGCACCCCCTTTCCTCAGTGGGTTTGGCTGATGCAACACAACTTTCCTCCTCAAGGATTTCATCATCTTCCTTAGTCAAACGACAGGCCACATCCCTAGTTTGCAGACCACAATCACACGATACAGAACACTGGATGGAGAAACAATTATTACTGACATTGATGTGTACTCAAACACAATCAGTGGAAAGCAAGGACTATAACATTATTTCAAATTAATACTGTAGTATAGTGGGAATAAGATCTTAGTTGCAAATAATCACCAAGATCTCGTTGTGAGAGAAAGAGAGAGAGAGCAACTTGTTTTTGTCTCCAAATAGAATATCATGCTTGTCAGCCATTGGAGGCACTCTTCCAAATACTTTCATAGGGGGGAGGGGCAAGCTGGTACAGGTTACAGGAAATAAAAACGGTATTTTACGTTTTTACAGGAGAAAAAATGAAAATCGGTTTTTACACTTTACAGATAAAGTAAATTCCTAATTACATTTTATATTTTCATAATATTTTGATAATTTGTGTTGAACAATTAAAATTGAAAATTGCATACGAATTACAACATTTATTTAGTTTATTTTGGAAAACGCTTTATACGCTTACAAAAAATAATATTTTTGTACAAATCACAGACGAATAAAATAGCTGATTACATTTTACACCTTGACCATGTCTACGAATTTATGTTTTTATTTTTTTAAATTACATTATGAAAATAAAAATTGAT